TGCAGCCTAGTAGTCCAAGCCAAAGCACGTTTACTTGGAAGGAAGTTCTACTCCGTTTAATTAGGGTCCCCCCCCATCCCGCCCCGAAAGCGTGCTTAAAATTGCATTTGAATTCAAGGAATCCCCCGTAGCTGGACTGGAGAGGCGGACTCAGTGGCAGGGCCGAGAAATTGTACTGCCTTTGATTTTCCTCTATGAACGCTGCCGGCGTCTGTTGTTCACTCAGGGAAATCAGTAAAGTCTCGCCTAATTTTGAACACCGCCGACAACACCCCAATATCTATCCGCTCCCCCAGCGTGTGTGGCTGTGTGTTTTGGAGGGAGCGTTCTCACGTTAATAATCTGAAGCTGCAAAACTGTTGCTAGCTTCGGTATGCCTGCCTGCGAATCCACTGGAAAAACCTCCTCGGCCTTCCTTTTGCTTCCAGAGAGGGTCCTCGGTCCGCGAGGGGTTGTGGAAATGAGGATCGACTCCCGAAGTGCGTAAGGAAGATCCCCGATATGCAGCGGTGTGTTTTGATGACCACAAGAAAACTGGCAGGTTCCTCCCCTCCCCCACCCCACCCCCCGCAAACTCAAGATGGAGAAGTTTCAAGGAACAAAAGGCTGCGGGAGGGAATCTGGTGGGGGAGTTTCAACTCGACTCCAATGTGCCTTTCCCATGTGTATTGAATATTTCCTTAAGATCTCTGTCTTGGTGTGTGTGTTTATTTGTTTATTAACTGATCTAGTCCTACACACACACACAGTTGTTACCACGATTTTTTTTTCAAATAGAGAGTTAACGTTGTACCTTGGTAGAAATGTCGATTTGCTAAAGAAAAGCAGCTATTTAAAGCGCACACACACCCGATTTTGTTGCTTTTAACGTCGATGTTTAAAGCAAACAAAAACTGGGGACCCAGCCTGAAGAAGCCAAAGAAGCAGACGACTGTAGTCGTGTGTGTGTGTGTGTGTGTGTGTGTGAGAGAGAGAGAGAGAGAGAGAGAGAGAGAGTTTGCGAGGCAGAATGGATGTGGCTCTGTCTCTGAGCCTGGATGCGCTTGTTGTGTGGCTGAGATCCCCACAACCTCTTTACTCCGCAGTACGCCACCCTTTGCAAGGCGGATGACTTGGTTGTATAGCCTGTGCCGATTTGGAACCTAAAAGTAACCGAGCCACGACTTTAGAACTCAACTTTGCGAAATAGACAAACAGCGAGGCATCCGCCGGAACTTTAAAGCCAATACCTCGGGCTTCATTTACTTTGTGGATCGGCCTGTCAGGGATGCCATCACCTTCAGCATCAAATTAGGGGGAGGAGGGGGAGGAGCAGCGTTGTGTGGGGCTGTGTGTGTGCCGGGAGTGGGGGGCACGAGACGACGGCTGCCATCCTGGGGAATAGGAGACCGAGAACAGAAGGGTCTGAAAGGTCCCCATTGCTTAACCCTACAAAAGCTGATACCGCTTTATTTCCCTCTTCGCCGCTTCATTCTACACCCACACCCCCCCACACAAAATAAAACAGCCAGGCAGCTGTTTTCCCTCCAAACTTTGCTTTGCAGCTCCAGAATGAGAGGCGATGTCTCCTGCGCGAGGGGGAAGAGGAACGCGCACAGGCGAAGGCAGCCAGATGCGGAGCTCAACTGGGCTGCGAGGAGCCTTCCATTCATTGTTCGCCACCGCCTTTCGATTGCGTTGGAAGGGCTGTACTATCACGAGACCCTGGACCAAGCTCTCCTTTTCGCTCTTGTCTCAAGGGAGAGCTATAATATAGAACATTATATATAATCACACCCACACATATATAGGAATGATATTCCTTGAGACAAGGGTGTGTGTATAAATTCTTTCTTTCTTTCTTTCTTTCTTTCTTTCTTTCTTTCTTTCTTTCTTTCTCTCTCTCTCTCTCTCTCTCTCTCTCAACAGTTTCTTGCTTCAAGAGGGAACCGGGCCTTGAAGCTCGGAGGAAAGAAGTCACTCCGTGCATGTTGTGTCGCCTTCTGTCTGGCGAGCAGCAGCCGAGCTCCACGGCTTGGTCAAGCCCAGCCTGAGTTGAGAGGCGAGGCCACGGACTTTCTTAATTTCCGGGCGCTCGCCAGCACCCCTTGGCCCTTCAGTCCTCACACTGGGAGCTGGGAGGGGGGCGGTTGGAAGAGAGAGAAATCGCCTGCTGAATTTTACCTAGTCATGCACAACGACCGTGAAAATGAATACCAACCAAAAAAAAAGCAAGAGCAGGAGATTTGGGGGGGGGGGCAGGATGAGTTTTTTTGTGGGGACGGGACGGGACTGCTGAGCTCTGTTGGTAGACTTGCTTATTTGTTTTCCCAGTTCCGGCGTAATCATTCTGCAGCCGCTGATATTATGGGGCATAGGACTATGGGAATCTATATCAGTGGGGCACATGGCCTTCGAAGACAGGCCATCTTCTTCTTACCTTCCGCCCCCCTCCCCAACACACACACACACACACACACACACACACACACACCCTGTTTCTTCGTCCGAGGAATCCCAGTGGTTTTCCTGGAGCACAGGGATGCATTTCATTTTGGCTCTGGCCGCGAGCTCCTCTCTGCAAAGACACAGCCACTTTGTGCTACTGGCCGGAATTCGGCGTGAATCGATTAGCGACTGCGATCCACCGCAACCCCGCGGACTAGCAGGATTTGGATCGACGCCGATTCGACTCCGGCTCGACTGGGGCTTCAGCCGCGGGGAATAGGGCCGGGCTGCTGGTCATTTTGCCGTTGGGTTGGGATAGATCTGAAAGACGGAAGGGTTTGGAGGGGGGAATAATACACTCAAACACCCCCCCCCCAAATAAGACAGTATAAGTTTTTCGTGGGCTGGGCCTTATTTCCCATCCCTCTTTTGTCCACGGAGCCGAAAATATTCGGCCGCCACTTGGGAAAGGTGAAAGTTGGAATTGTAAGGTGGGGGGGAGAGGGAGAGCCTTTTCTATAGAGCGATGGAAGTGTGCGGGGGGAGGGGCAAGACTCTTTCCCGCACCCACATTCAGACACCGAACGTGTGAATAGGAAACCCCTTACACCCAGACACCTTCAGTGAATTTACTATTCCAGCGGCGGGGAGGGGGGGCAGTCTCATCGCCTGGACCGCAGGTAGCGGGGAAGAACCCTCAGCCTCCAGGGAAGTTCTAGCGAGGGCGGCACCCTACAAGTCAGAAGCATCCCTGTGACCCATTGCAATCTTCCCCTTCCTCCTCCCTCCTCCTCCTCCTCCTCCTCCAAGCTTTCCTCTCGGCTCTGTTGCCATCTTTTTCCCCCTGCTGGAAGCAATCAACACGCAGGCGATCCTGGCGTGGACGCGCGGGCCGGAGGGGGGACTCCCTCCACCTTGGGAGCTAGCACGGGGGAACTGTGGAAAAGTAGAGACCTTGCTGCTGGCTTATCTCGGCTTTGTTATGGGTCTGACGTGAGCCCGCGTCCCGATCTCTCTCTCTCTCTCTTCCCCCTCTCTCTTCCAACCTCCTCCTCTCCCCCTCCTCTCCCCCTCCCCCACCCCCAATATTACAGGCAGAATTTCAGAGAAAAGTGTTACAGTATTGCGGGGCTGGAGCTCAGGATAACCACGCAGCCCTAAATAATTCCCACCCACCCCCAGTAGCACCAACTTAGCTATCGGAAAGAGTGAGAGAGAGAGAAAGACCAGGAGGAAGAGGAAAAGAAGGGACTTAAGCTAGCGAACGTGAGTATTCTCGTTTTCCGAGTCGTTCACAGAAATATACAAAATAACGTCAGACAAACCCCAGGGTTTTTTGTTGTTGTTTTTGTTTTGTTTAACTATGCTTGCAAGCCAAAGGAAGGGGAATACCAGTTGAGGAACCCTCCTTTTGACACGCATTGCAGAATAAGCGCCCCTTTAAAATGGTTACTTAAAAGCTCCCCCTTCCAATCTTTACATCCACAGAATTCGTATCGTGGGGGAAACAGCTTTCTGTCCTCCCCACCCCCGCACTTTATCCCCACTAAATAAGCCCAAGAAGGTTTCCAAATTCCATTTATTTCTTATATTTGTTTCAAATAATAAAACAAAACCCGTGTCACCGAGGGCTTCCAAACCCGGTCCTTCAGTCGCCAGCGCCGCCGAGAGCGAGCTGTGGGCTGGCTGGGAGCTCCGGATTGTTTAATAGAAAGATTTATATACTAACAGTATTATTTACTTTGGGAGGGGAGGTAGGAGCCTAAGAGTATGCTAATTAGCCAGAGATTTGGAGGGGGGGAGCTGCGAAGGGGGTGGAATATCAATTTTTATTGCATCACCTGTCAGGAGTGTCCAATCAGCGCTGGCTTGAGGGGAATTAATTGATGAAGGTGTCTCCGGACCAGCTCACTTCCCTCTGTCATTTGATTTGGAGCGAAAGCAGCGGCGGGAAGAGCGGCTGCGTGGCTCGGCTCGTCTCCGCACAGCCCCCTTTGGCTCACATTCCTTTATCCTGGCTGGGCAGTGCGGGGAAGCCGCCAGCCAAAGGGCACAGGTAGCCAGCCTGCCTCAGTGCCGTCGAGAAACACCGGGGGCAAGCGAGCCAATCGCTCCCGCCCAATCCCCTAAGGCAGTTTTCCAGGACCTGGATTTTTAAAAAATCCCCTCCCTATAGCGCTCAGTCCCTCTTTCTTTCTTTCTCTTTCTTTCTTTCTCTCTCTCTCCTGATTCCAACATCTCCCCCCCCGCCCCCCGCCTAAAGTTTGATCGGGTATAACAGGCTTTGTTCTTTTCCCTCCAGCAGGATGCCTTGAGACCCCGCTCCAGCACCTGGCTGAGGATTTTTTATATATATATATAAAATAGCCTTTCCTCGCGTGGATCTCCTCTCCTTCCTTGCCACCCACCCCACCCCCGCCGGCTGCACACCTTTTCCTCCCGCCGCCGAAGGCTGCTGGTTCCAACTCCGGGGTGCGGCGTGCATGTGTGGGGGTTGGGGGGGCCCCTCCGGCGCCCCCTTTTTATGCTCCCTCCCGCTGCCCGGATGCCGGGACTGCTCTGAGGCGCGCGCCATGGGAGACCACCTGAAGTCGGGCTTCGAGGAGGTGGACGGCGTGCGCCTGGGTTACCTGGTGATCCGGGGCAAGCAGATGTTCGCGCTGTCGCAGGTCTTCACGGATCTGCTGAAGAACATCCCTCGGACGACGGTGCACAAGCGCATGGACCACCTCAACGTGCAGAAGCACCACTGCGACCTGCAGGAGCTGCGCAAGCTCAAAGCCATCAACTCCATCGCCTTCCACGCCGCCAAATGCACCCTCATCTCCCGCGAGGACGTCGAGGCGCTCTACACGTCGTGCAAAACCGAGAGGGTGCTCAGGACCAAGCGCAAGGGGGCCGCGGCCCTCCAAGAAGCCCCCGGGCCGGACCCTTACGCGGCCTTCTGGAAAGGAGGCGGTAAACTTTGGCTGGGTTTGAATGGAGCCGCCGCGCCTCTGGCCAGCAGCGGCGGCGGCGGAGGCAGCAGCGGCCGCCGACGGAAAGCGTGGCGCGCGGCGGCGGCATCGGGCGCTTTCCTACCGGCTTCGGATCTACCTCACTTTTGGAGCAAATCGCCTGCGCCCAGCGCGCCGGGACTGGCGCGATCCCCTTGCAAAGGGTCGCCAAACTATGAAACTGCGCCGCTGGCGCCGCGCTACGTCTCGCTGGCGTCGGAGGCGCCTTGCTTTCGGAGCCTGCTCTGCTCCAAGCACCCGCACTACTACTACCACTCCTCGGCCGCCATTGCCAGCCAACCCAAGCTCGTCGCCGCCGCCGCCGCCGCAGCAGCCGCAGCAGCAGCTGCCGCCGCAGCCGCCGCCACGTCGGAGAGCGGCCCGCTGGCTCTGGGTTGCCGCTCCAAGAGGAAGAAAGCCGCCGAGGGGCGCTTCCCGCTGCTGGTGCCCCGCGCCGGCAAGCCCCCCAAAGCCGCCTCGTTGGAGAGGCTGCCGGGCTTGAACGGCTTCCTGGCGCCGGCGCCGCCCCAGCAGCCTTTCCCGGAGCCCTCCTACAGCAGCGACTCCGACTCCAGCTCCTATTCGGACCACGCGGCCAACGACTCCGATTTCTGCTCCAGTTTGACCAGCAGCAGCAATTCGGGGTCTTCGGAGGACGAGGAGGGCAGCTACGCCTCGGATTCCAGCGAGCTGAGCTCCGACGAGGAGGAAGACGAGGAGGAGGAAGAGGAGGAGGAAGAGGAGGAGGAAGAAGAGAGCAGCTCCGAATCGGACTCCAGCTCCGGCTCCAGCCAAGCATCCGTGCAGAGCATCCGCTTCAGGCGCACCAGCTTCTGCAAGCCGCCCGGTCTGGCGGGGGTTCCGGCCAGTCTTTTGCCTCCAACCCCCGCCTCGGCTGGACGGGACGAGAGCCTCCCTGGACCCGCGCGGAGCATCAAAGCCGAGGCGCCCGAGGAGGACTGGGGCATCACCCCCGCCGGCTGGGTCCCCAAAACCGAGCCCGGTGTGGATTGCCACTGCTTTGGGGAGCTGAGCCAGGTCCGAAGGGGCGGCGGGTGTCCCTCTCCCTCGCCCGACGTGAAGGCTCCCGACCTGAAAGCCGCCCCCTGCCTGGCCAGGGGGTGCCCTTCACCCAGCCCAAAGACGCCCCACGCTTTGCCACAGCCAAGGTTCCTTCGAGACGCGGCGAGAGGCTGGCCCACCCGCTCTCCTCCTCCTCCTCCTCCAGCTCCTGCAGAGAGTCCTACTGCTGCTCTTGGGGTGCCCCCAGAAGCCCCCCAGCCCCATCGCCCATTGACCCCCTGCCTGGGCTGTTCCTCCTCCCAAAGCCAGCCCGAGGTGCTTGCTGCTGCTGCTGCTGCTGCTGCTGAATACCCCGAGCCGCTGCCCCTTGTGCCCATTGCCCAGATTAAAGTCGAGGACAGCAGTGCCAACGCCGAGTATGGCGCCCTCCCCGTTCAGGGACAGAGCCAGCCCCCGCTCAAATGTGAAGGCAGCGATGACGAGCACAAGCTGGAGGCGGACGGCGAACCCGGGCCCTCGCCGTCTCCGCCACCCAGCCCGACCCACCAGCCTCAGGAACTTCTGCTGCCAGCCAAGGAAGACCCCGCCTGCTGCACTGACGAGCCCCCCAGCCCTCCGCTGAGCCCCCTGGGCCAGCCCGCCCCGTCGAGCCAGGCCCTCGCCTCCTGCACTTTAGGCGCCGCCGCCGCCGCCAAACCCGAGGATGGGGAGTACAAATTTGGAGCCCGGGTGAGAAAGAACTACCGGACTTTGGTGTTGGGCAAGCGAGCCCTGCTGCCCAGCCCGGCGCCGCTCAAACCAAATCTGAAATCCGTCCGGAGCCCCCGCCTGCCCGCCGGGAAGCTCCTGGACGCCCCCGAGGGCGCCCTGGACGACTTGACAGTTCTCAGCCGGCGCAAAAGGGCGGCCGGCCACGTCGCCTCGGCCGTCAAGAGGCCCTTCAGCTTCATGGGCAACTTTCCCTGCCCGCCCTCCTTGGTGGTGGGCCTCGACGGGGATCTGCTGCCAGCCTACACCTTAAACACCGCCAGGGATGCGCAGCCGCCTCCCAAGGCCCATCCTGTCTGGAAATGGCAGCTGGGCGGCTCAGCAATACCTCTTCCACCCAGCCACAAATTCAGGAAATTTCATTCATGAGAGAGAGATTGAATGGGAACCCTACTTCATGGTCGTTGTTGTTGTTGCTGTTGTGTTGTTGGTCTTTTTTCCTTTTTGGGGGGGGACCCCAACTACTTCTTTTCCTGACCTTCGAGAATCTTACGCTGGATGCTGGTCCCGCCCCTCATCACATCACATCCGATTTGATTTTGATTTTTTTTTTATGGTGTGGGGGAATCCTGGTTTATTCTATTTTTGGAGAACGACGAAAATAAAACCGGATTACTATTTTCTTTGCCATGAAAACCCATCGTGGGGGGAAGGGAGGGGGGACGACGACGAGGAGGACGAAAGAGGTCTAACATTCCACAGACTACTTCAGGCGAAAGTTTTCCAAGTTTATTAAAACACACACACACCACACAACAAACAAAAAAACCACCTCAGTGGAATCTGCTAAAGCTGGAACACTTTACTGTCTCAAAATGCTAGTAATGCACCTGGTACCTCAATTCCAACTGCTACAAATAAATGTTTGGTTTATGGTTTTGTTTTTTTAAGTTGAATGATAACAATTCGAATGAGCCATTAACGTGTAAATGCACTAGATTTCGAATTCAGGAAGTCTAAATGTTCAGTTCTGTACAAGGTTTTTTTGTTTCGTTTTGTTTTCAGCGAGAGGTTGCACAGGGAGAATTCACTATCCTTCTGCTGGGAATGCCTTCTACTTTATTGCAGAGGGTTCATTGTTATGTTTTAATTCCCCACCTGTCCTTTCCACAAAAGCAGTTGCACTCTGCAGTTGGGAGTGTGCGTGTGTCTCCGGGTCACCAGTGGGAGAGTTGGAATTAGATGGTCAGGCATTTTTTTAGGACGAAAAAAAGAGAGACTAAAAAAGGACATGCCACTCTTTGCCTTCTTGTTTCACCTTGAACCCTTCAGGTTGGCCACGATTGCCTATCTCGGCTACAGTACTCAACCCAGCCAAACCAGTGTACATTTGCTCGGAAGCTGCTCTACCCCACGTTCAATGGGATTTGCCTCCCAAGTAAATTTTACTCTCAAGGAGGGGGCCTTCCAATCATTAGGTTTTGTTGTGGGACTGGGTTGGAGCTCTGTTTCTATTGGAAGGTTTGCAGGTGTGTGTGGGGGGGGGGATGTTCTCAAAATCTGGTCCTCCCAGATTTGCAAAGTCAGGAAAAAATGTTAGGTTCTCACACTCCCATTGGAGGGAATCGGAAGGAAATGCAGTCACATTCAGCATGCTAAGTGCAACAGAGGCCCCAGTGGAAGGGATATTATCAATGAAGAACCCCATACTCTTGGTGGCTACTTTGGCACCAAAACTCAGGCTTTTTAAACCAGGACTTGTCACTGTTTTCTTTACATCTCTGGAAAAAAAGAGGACTTTTCCCAACCACCCTATCTTTGTAGCAGGATCATTTTCTACTGCACGTGACAATCAGAGGCAATTGTCTATATTTGCACTTAAACCTCGACAGAGTTGAAGCAGGCAGACTTCTAGAGTCGAGCCTTTGGTAAGACATGCTGGTGTAATATGTTGTGATGATGGAAGCAGTAAATCAAAATGATGGAAATTTGCACTGTTGGAAAAAGCATGCTTTAGCTTTATTTTCAATTAAAACACTGTTTTAAAAAAAAGTGATGATGATTTTATACTTATTGTAGGGTTCCTCATTCGTTTCTGACTCTTTTGCGAGAGAGAATGTCTGTGTCTGTGTGAGAGAAAAGTGTAGGGATTTGATTGGAAGGACTTCTGCTTCCAGAGGCTGGTTGCTGTTTCTTTATAAAACTGTGATATAAAAACAAACAAGTGTGAGGCAGTTGTCACTGCTGTTGCATGTTGGTGGAAGACAGCAGGGAAGGGAAGCTAAATAGATTTTAGCCGAAAGTTTAAAGGCTGAGAAAGTATTGACACAGAGTTGCTGAATCAGCACTTTGGGATTGACTGCCAGCTCCAGGGCAATTTCTTTCTCACCAATTTAGCATTTATATGCCAACAGATTCTCTTTCTAAATTCAAATTCTCAAGGATTTCACCTATAGAAGAATCTCAACATAATGATTTCTACTAAATCACAAAAGAAATCAGCATTTGAAATGTTTCGCGCTGGGCCTCAGAGCCAATGTTTTTAAGATGGAAATCCTTGGCTTGTTTTGTTGTTCTTCCTTAAGGTCTTTAAATTCCTGCCCCTGGTGATAACGCCCCCCCTCTAAATCTTCCAAGCAGACATTAGCTAATTTGATCTTCTTTTAAAACACATGGAGAGAGAAATAAATGAGTAAGGGTTTTCCACTCCTTGTAAGAAATACCTGCAGGATATATGTGTGTGTTATGTATATGCACACGTAACAGATATACCCATACGTTTTTCACGTCAGGTCGGGCAGTTGCAATCATCAGTCATGGTGGTATATTACTTATTTAACTTGCTCTGTTAAAATCTGATGGTCTCAAAATGGGGGAGGGAGATATGTTGCTATAGGCTAGTCTGTGTCTGGAGCTGCACAAATTACAGCCTTATGTCACTCCAAAAGGCCATACTTAGTTTGCGTAAGTCTCCCAGCCTCAGGCACCCACTCTGGCTTCTTTAGCAAGCTGCGGGGTGATTTGCCAATGCTCCCCCCCCCCACTCCACTATTATTCATGGCAAAACCATCCTGCCATTAGAGGCCAAGTTCCAGAGCTCTCCACCCCCACCCCCTGTGTCAAACATGCCTCTGCCCATCCCAAAGTGGCCTCTTCTCCACTCCATGGGGCCTGCAGGCTCATCACCACTTTGGCCCTTCCACAGAAAATGGTAGAGAGAGAACAGGGGAAGTTTTTCAACCCTGATGGGGACTGAAGCACCACATTGTTGACTCTGGTACTTTCAGATGTTTGAGACACTATTTTTATTTTTAATTGTGCTTTGTTGGCACCTCAGCCCCTGTAGCTTTCAGAGAGTTACTCGCTAGCTGCACTTTCCAGAGGCTGCAGAATGAACAGTGTTGAGCCAAAGGCTTCGTAAGGCGTAGCTTTTTAGCCTAGTTTTGTCCAAAGAATTGCATTGGAGGCAGGGGGCAGGAGAGAAACCAATCCACCAAATAATACTCCAAAATCCTAAATACATGTCCATCTCACTTCAAGACTGACAGGAATACCTATTGCTTCATGGTTCGCAGTGAAAGCTGTTTTTGCTTTTTGAGGGGAGGGGGGGAGATGCAAGGATAAAGAGGGAGGCCTGCAATTCTGCTAGGTGTTTTCCTTTGTACAAATTAACAATTCCAACTGGTCCAGTGGATTCTTATTAGAGTATGACTGATGGTCAAACTCCACATACACAACCCAGTTAAACTGCTTCACAGCAATCCCATTGCCTTTAGCTGGAATGCCTTGGAGCACATGGCTTGTGGTGTTCAGCACAAATTGTTGGGTTTAGGAATGTCTCTTTTGTCCTCTCTGTAAAATACCTCTTGGTAAGCAGCAGTGGACATATATAATTTTTCAATTTAACCTGAAATGAAAGAGAAATTCTATTTCCCATTTGATATGGCTCTACAGACTTTCCAGTTCTTAGGGCTAAACTAAACCAAACCACAACAACAAAAATCTGGCAATAAAAAAAAAAAAACCCCGACAAATATTATTCATCTATGAAGCATATAACAGAGTTGCTCCTGTGTTATTGAGAAATGTGTTGAGAAGTGTTCTCCCCCTGCTCTTGGAGACAAAGGAAACGATGGACTATATATCTAGCATTCAAAAGAGAACATGTGTAAATGCCTTTCAGCAAAACCAGGTCTATTGCCTTAAATGATGTAACACAGAGTTTACAACCCTTTACTCTGAAAAGGGATTGTCTCTATAAGTCCACCCATACTTAACTACAGTGGCAACACAAAATAAAAATGGGGGGGGGGGAATCTCACTGCTGGTTGTTTATTCTAAACACCACTATGCAGTAATAAAGGAAAGTCCTGCTGTCTGTTGTATGAAGACTGTTGTTCAATCATTCCCTTGGCAATTTACAAAAGGGGATGATGCTCTATCAGATTTAGTTGCCAATAAATTTTAAGTTTCTGCAGAAAGAAGAGAAATGCGATGTTTTGGTTTCACTTTACACGTGTGAGTGTGCTTAGAGGAGTTGTGCTAAAAAGTGGCCTTTTGGAGGAAAAAAATAGATACAACACAGGAAGTGCTGCTCGCTGTGGTTTTTTTACGGTTAAGATGCTTTGCGTTGTAGAAAAAAAAGTTCATGATTTAACTGCAAATCCGTTGGGGTAGCAGAAACTTTCCTAAAGAGTAGAAGCTTATAGAACAATTTTCCTTTCCAATAGAAGCAGGACAAAGAGCGGGAATCTACCTTGTTAAATCGCCCTTGCAAACATCAGGCACTGGCAAAATCTCCTCCTAGGGATTCCAACAACAAGCGTGTTTAATAAAAATACGATTGAGGGGGGGAACTGGGCGGGGGGATCATGGGCTTTTCTTAGCCCTGACTAAGGCAAGGATTTTACCTCCCCCCTCCGCATTTTTGCTAAACGAAGGGCAATTCCCAAATATCTGTCATATGTGTATATGTGTGTGTGTGTGTGTGTGTATGCATATACATATATATGCACGCACACAGATATCTACATAGACACACACACAGTATGTTGCAGTTAGTTTGTGCGTGTGTCTATTCCAATATAATTATTTGCGTTGCCCTGGCTTCCCCCTCCCTTCTCTTCTCTCCCTCTCCTTTTCAATCTGAGGCGGCCTCACAAGCCCCAGCGTTAAAAGGCCCGAGATGTTTTGCATGAAGCTCTCACAATAGGGGTTGAGAGAATTGACAGTTTCAAAAACAAGGCGCTCTGTCCTTTCCAGATGCCGAGACCACCTCCCTCCCTCCCTCCCTCTCTCCGTCCCCCTGCTCTCTCTCTCCCCCCCTTCCTTTGCCTGCACCTTCTCTCGCGGCTGGTGGCTTTTAGGGTGCTTTGCAAATCTACGACAACAGCTGTGTTTGTAAACAGGGCTGGGAATTTGGGTGGGAAGCCGGCGACGCTTCCCTGCTCTTCTTTTCCTCTTTGACGAGAGTGCCTGCGCAGCGCATATGCGCCAAGTCCGCCGGTCTCTGGCTTCCCAGTTTCAGCCTTCCTTCCTTCCTCGGGAAAGCGACTCTCCTGCTTTCCTGCGGGAGCATCGCAGGTTGCAACTGAACCGGCGGACTCGGCGGTGGCCGGCGAGGGCCGTTTCCCCTCAGCTCCGTGGGCCAGGAGCGGTAGCCGGAGGCCTCTCCTGGTCGCCATCTTGCGCGCTCGAAAACAAACTCCTTGTGGTGCTTCGCCCCGGCCGGCCTCTCCCGGTGTCGCCTGGCCTTTCTCTTCCTCTCCCCCCGACAGAGGACCGACTCATTTAGGCGAGGCGGAAGGGCAGGCCCGGAGCCCCACTTCAAGGTGGCCTTTCTGTTTGCAGGAAGGAGGCGAGGGAAAGCCGAGTCGAGGGCCTTCGCCCACTCGGGCCTCGGCTCTCCACCGGCCGCTCTCCTTTTCCCTTTTGTCTCCTCTCGTCTCCCGCCTTCTCGCCTCTCCAGCTGCTCCAAAGCGGCTCCCCTTCCCGACTAGGCCTCGCTCCCACCCCGGCCTTTTCCGGGTCGCCCGCCCTGAAACAGAAGGTCCCCTCGGTCGCGCCCACCTTCCCGCGAAGGGGATTCAGAAGAGGGCTCCCCAATGGGGACCCTCGGGCCGGCTCTTCGTGCACCAACAGAAAGGGCGCTGCTTGCCGCACAAATAAATAGGGGACATCCACAGGGCGCAGGGATTTGCCGCCCTGCAAAGCTCCGCGAGGAATTCGGCAGGGCTTCCGAATCTCAGGCCCGGGGTGGCTTGGCGGCGCAAGGCCGCCTTCCACGCACCATCTCCCTTCTCTCTCCCCGGGGACGGGCCCGGGCCGGAGCTCGCCGCTGCAGTTGGGAGCTGGGCTTCCGGGTCACAAGAGGTGACTCCCCGGCCCGCTTGAGCGCCAGCACCTTTGGATGGGAAAGAAATGCAGCGCTGCTCGCAAGGAATATGGGGTAGAGGGAAGGGTGGAGGTTGCAGTGTTTGGAGCGGATCGGCTCTCCGAGTCCATCCACTCTGCAATTTAAAACTGTTCCAAGGAAAACAGAGCTGGGTGGTGTGTGTGTGTGTGTGTGTGTGAGAGAGAGAGAGAGAGAGAGAGAGAGAGAGAGAGAGAGAGAGAGAGAGAGAGAGGTGAGGTGGGAGTTTTGAGACAATTGGCCAGTTGTGGCGACAGCTTCAGCCGAAAAGTGCACTCAAGGTTGTTTACTCTGGTGTTTGAAAATGCACTGGGAGGTTGTAAAGTGTGTGAAATTACGCACTGGTCTCTTAAAGAGTGCCTAATTTCTAGTAAATAGCCGGGCCTTTGTCAATGGCTTTATTATGTTGTTTCTTGTTAATTGTTGAGAAAATCCCCATTGTGCCGTGTGAATAGCTTTATGAGCTAACCTGGTCAGTGGTGAAATAAGGGGGCAGTAAATGGCCGCCTCGTTTTAAAGAGCCAAGGCTGGGATCGGCCATGGCCGAGCCGAAAGCAAGGAAGGAAATGGTTGGGCCCAGTTTTCTTTTTCCCTCCCGCTCCAAAGGTGCTGTTTGTTTAGGAAGGCCCGGAATGCAATACGTGCAACTTGATTCCATGCAGGACCAGACACACACATTTTAAGGGCAGATTTGCAATTCTGCAACTCCATAGATGCTCTTTGATGCAGCTTCCTGGAAAAGATTCAGTTACAACTATTTTAGTCCTTTGCTGAAGGAGACATTTTGATGCAGCGACTTAACACCAAGCTAAGCCACATTTACTCGGAAGTAAGTCCCACACATTTCCTGTGTGAGCCCTTGCACGCGCGCACACACTATTTACTCTGGAGTAAGTTGCCTTGTAGTCAAGGAAGGCCGCTTCCGCTTCAGTGTGTTTAAGACTGAGGTATAAAATCGGACCCGCAGCGCAATTCGGGACCAATGTCGGTGATGGGAAAAGGAGGCTGCGTTTTGCAAGAGCAAAACCACGCAACAGCTCTGAATCTCTCGGGGCTGAAAATGTTTCTTAGGTGACACATATAAGAAAACTAGAACAAATAATAACCACGAGGCCTCGGCCGTTTTTTCCAAGTTCCGAGTCGGAGATTGCAGGGGTCCCTAAAGGAAAGAGACCTCACATTTCAGGGAGAGAGAAAACCGGAGAAATATTTAAATGACAGCGGGGAACATGCACGAGGGTCTTTGATTTCTCTCCTTTGTTAAAAGCTAACAACAAACGCCCATCAAGTAAACGTGCGTGGCTCTTGGCGAACGCCTCTAGGAGATCGCAAAATACAAGCCACTTAAAAAAAAAAAAAAAAGGACGGCGGAAAATAAATTGCCAAACGTTGAGGAAAACGTGGCTATCTCCGTCCAGCATTCAGCTCTTTCAGCCAACTAATTTTTATACTTTCTACTTTGTGTGTGTGCGTGTGTTATTGTTTTAAAAAAGATTTAAGTGGCTTTGTTTTTAGAGAAAGAAACTCAGATGGGTAGGATTTATTTTGGGGGGGGCGGGGAGGGTTGTACCGTGAAAACTCCAGCAAGCTCTCCTGTCCCAAAGAGCTGCCGGCCAGTGAGAGCTTTTCACTATTTCTGGCTTTCAAAGGAAAATGAGAAACCCGCAGACTCGAAAGAAGGAGCAGCAGCAGCAGCTGATCCACCAACTCCGCGCGCCATTCCAGCCGCTCTCCCGGCGCACGTGTGTCTGTATATTACAAAATACACACTGCGATGAAATGTACGTGCCTCCCTCTACTTTTATGGGGCTTTTCCTCTTGAGCCTCAAAACGCCCAAACTCGATCGTTGTCTTCCGGACTCCGGCAGCAGCAGCAGCAGCAACCGGCACTTGCTCGCCTCACCCCCCCCCCCCAGACTGAGCGTTAAGATCTCATCTTCGGCCTGCCCCCGCCCCCCGCAAGATCTGAGATAAAAGCGGCAGGAAAGAAGTTAAGACGCCGGCGCTGCACGTTATTTACTTCGGCGGCCGTTCCCAACTGCTGAGAATGGGAGAGGCAGGCCGTGGAAAGATCGCAACACGCACAAAACCGCTTCCCCCGTCCCCTCTTTTTCTTTTCTTTCTTTATCAACACGCCTAAAGGAGAGTTGTGAGGCAGCGCAGCCCATTTCCCTCTAAACAGGATACTTCCATCAAGCTGCATTTCGTTTCCACTGCAACTGCTCTTCCCCAGCTCAGGGCGAAAGATCTGCCCCCACAAGCCAGTTGGGAAAGCGCTGCTCAGAAATACTGGAGAGATAAACCATCCCATTTAAACTGTCGCTCGGGTCAGTTCACATCCCCCCCTCCCTTTGCATTTCAAACAGCCGTCCCTTTCGTTTTCCTTCTCTCTCTCTCTCTCTCGCTCTCCCCCCAGCAAAACCGGTGGGGGAACAGCACCGTCACCGCTGCTACCTCTGCGGCGAATTCTATCCAGGCCACTCAGCATCGTTGTAAATTGTGTGTGTGCGTGTGTAAAAGAGAGAGTCTTAAGGGTTTTCTGTGTCACAGACTGGTAAGGGCCCCTTATGATATTCCAGTTTTGCTAGAAATATTTGCAACTTAACAAAAAAAACCAAAAAACCCCACCATAAATGTGAATGCTGTTTATTTACTCAGGGTCAGCATCGCTCAGCCAGATCCTCATTCATTTAGTCTTATAAACAAGCTTACTACCTAGCTGGGCTAAATCACAATGAGAGAGGGAGATGGGGGGAGGGGGAAATCCCAGTTTCAGGAATCTCATAAGGACTTCTCCTTCTGTGCTGTAATCCGCTTGTCCTCTGTTTGGAGGTAAGCAACCCTGATGAGCCTTGTTTCCAAGTAAATGTAAGATCAGAGGATCAGAAAGACAGATAGGACCCAACATAACTTACCATGTCGGTTTTTTCCTACCCTACTATAGAAGAGTAGCACCCTTTCGTATTGTACAAGATTCTTCTGTAGGATGCTTTGTTAAATGATAATCTATAGAGCATAGATAGTATTTGAACAAATTGGCTTCATGTTATTAAGATCTCATTAAGTGGTCAGTGGTACTCAAACCAGCCCTGTATTCATGAGGCCAAGTCTAGTTCTCTTTCGGGTAAATGTACAAAAATAAAAAATAAATCACCCCTGTTTCTTAGACAGCTTTAACCATTACAAATTATGGGAATATGCAGTTTAACGTTACAGAGTATTTTACAAACCTCACCAGGTTTGTCTTGGACAACTTGAAACTGACCATTTCTTTATGAGAAATGCTTTTAAGTTGTCTCCAATGGAGATAGTGGGTCATTAACATTATTGACTGCTAAGAGGGGAGGGGGAAATTCTAAACTTGCTTTGTGTACCCAGAACGGAGCACGTGTTGGTGCCGCAAAAATCTTGGAGCAAAGTGGAAAAGCAGCCCACTATATTTGACTCCCTAGGTCACTGGGGCTGATAGGCTGTTTGCATCAGATAAGAGATGTGAGTATACAATATAAAGAAGGGCCTTTATTCTCCCCTTAAAACAAGCATTGATTGATTGAGCCTGTTTTGAAAAGAAGTTCCCTTGAACCCAGGAAGATCTGCATACTGCAGTTTCACAGAAGGAAGATGCCTCCATACTTTAGCAACAACAACAAAAACGACGTGGCTCTTCACTAAGTAACCGACATGAGCTTTCATGTGTTAGAAGCAGAGCTTTCCAATGAAGGAATTAGAATAAAAACATCAATAGATCCATGCAAAAAAATAAATTCACCTCTAAAACACTACTGGCCTTTTGGACTTTTTTTCTTCCTAGACACCAAAACGCCCACCTTGTACTTATATGATTGAACTACCAAAGCAATCTCAGATCTCTTCCACCTCACATTAAGCCTGCTATTAACTGTGTAAACTGCTGACCTGTAAATACAGGTAATGCCATTCCAAGCAACCCACAAATAAAACACACTACTGCATTGCAGCCCAGTCCAGGACTAGACCTGAAAATCCAAGCATTTAGTTTTGATCAAGTTCTAAAGCTGTCTGAAATGTCCTTTTGACTCATCTAGCTGGACTGTAGCTAGTAGTTCGCTTTGCATGTTGCTTCCAGCGGTGTTCTAAGCCAACAACCCGATCATAAACTCTTTGGCATGGGCGGGAAAAAAGAGGAGCCCAGGATCTTGGAAGTGAGGCGACTTTCAATGGAAGCCAAGCGCTTGGGAGTTCCTTTCCACGCTTGATATCTTTCAGAAGTTGTTGGTCTCTCTTGCAGTGTAGCCGGAGTGTAAGATAGCAGATAATATTAGATAATATTCAGATTATCTGAATTATTTGTACCCGCATCTGATTATCTCCCCACCTCCATTCTATATCTTATCTATCATCTCGCCTACACACAGGAGTAGCTATTCAAGGCAACTGAATCACCAACTTCCCCCATGGAAGGTCCTGGGCAGGAGGATACAATACCGCGGGGTCGATTATGTGGCTTGCTTTTTTTTAAGGAGGTAGGTGAGTTTTGCAGAAAACTCGCGGTCTCTCTCCGCCCGGGGGACAGGTATTGATCTGGCAAGCGGGCGCCGCTGGGCCGAGGCGATCCTGGCGCTTTGAGGACGAGATGCGCCCAAGCGCCGCTCTGCCTTTCAGCTCCCGGGTCTGCACGCTGCGGCGCCCAACATGTGCTCGGGTTGGGCGCTCACAAAGAAACTTTGGATTTCCCCCATTAGCAATCAATAATGTTAATGCCTCTGCACGGACATGTCAGTGAGGGATTGAAACGCTGAAGGATCCCCAGCGTTAGTCGGCAGAGAAAGGAGCGGGGGAGGTGGAGAGAAGAAAGCAGGCTCCACTGCGCGCCCCCTCGCAAAAGAATCCGGACCTGCTCAGCGGCCTTAGGTGGTCGTCGGCTCCTGCTCAGCACGGGCGAATCCATCCATTTCGGGGAGGGCAGCAGCAGCCAGGGATCCCTCTCGCTCTGTCTCTCTCAATATCACAGAGATGGGAGAGCTTTAGCTCTGCTTTTCCTTTTGAAACGCCTTAAACCCCCCCCCCATCCGTATCATCTGCGACCTCCCGCTCCTTGCCACATTTAGCAGGATTCAGCGACATCGTTGCAAGTAAATGTCTGAACAGAGATGCATTCTTTCTTGGGAGATCGCAATCTCCGGGCTGGGGCTTGCTTTTGGGTACAGAGTCTGACACTCCCACCCCCCACCAAATACCACTACATTACTACTGTTGGCACCATCGTTATTTTTAGGTGGTAGTAGTGATACTAGTAGTAACAGTAACGGTGACGGTAATTTTTAATTCACAGACTACGTCTGTGATAAGTCCAGATCCCGGGCGGCTTATTATATTTACAACTGGAATGCTTAATAGGAGAAAAATGCGATGCCCTCTGGGATGAAAATCTCAGCTAAGAGGCACTGAAGTCAGTAAGGCTGCATGGGCGCCTTTACGACCCGGGGAAACAGAAAAGTCCGGGAGGCCAATGGAAATCCCAAATTCACAGTCCGTTTCCTTTAGTTCATTTCCTACGACGTGGCTGCTCGGGAATGAGGGAAGCCCTCTCAGGCGCGGCACCTGGCCTGGTTTTCCTTGTTGAAGGCAGGCCTCCTCGGCGCCTGTTGGAAGAAATTTCCATTCATTTAAAGGGAAATGCAAGACAAGTTGTACGTGTGTACATATCTATCTATCTATCTATCTATCTATCTATCTATCTACCAGAGACAACCAGACAGCGGGTATTCGTCTGGGAAAACCAGACACAACCGACGGGTTTTCGATGAAGATCTGCACACTTTAAAAATGCGAGTGAAAAACAGGCCACTTGGTTGTGAATCGGCGTGAAACAAACGGAAGGGTTTTCAGTAACTTCCCCGCGCGCGATCTATGGAAAAAATAGAACCGTCCATTTCCCTGCAAATTTGCAGAAAACAAACCAGGACTTTCTGACCATCTCTTGACCTGATCAAGGAGCCTTGCCTATGTTGCAGCCACATTGTGGCTCTTAGTGCTGCAGTAATAATATAAAATATTCTTTTTAAAAAAAAAAATTCTAAATGTGCTGTATCTAGGGCTAAAAAAACAAACCCATGTTGGCGGTAGGGTAATCCAAAAAGAAAGAGGTCGTCCCGAAAATATTCCAGTGGATTACAAGGTTATGAGACAGGTCAGGATAGCGCACAAAAGGGAAATTCGGGATACGCACACAACTGGACTCCCTTCCCTTTGCAAAGCGCGAAGGGGCATTTACTCGGGGGTCGATCCCCTCGATTTCCACGGGCCTTGCCTTGGAGGAAACTCGCTCAGCGCGCTGGAGGTCGAGGGGATTTGCTCGCCAGGAGAAGGCGCCCGGGATCTGAGCTGGGGTCCCGAGGAACTCCGTCGCCCGAAACTTTATGCTTCTTTTTACATGGAAGCAGCGGTCGGGGGCGGGAGAGCACTCGCTTCCGGGGTTGCAAGGGCGTTTGGCCCCCTCACCCCTGCGGCCTCTGCAGACCACCTCATGTTCAGTGGGTCTTGGGGGGGGGCAGGAGAGGGTGAGGTGAGGTGGGGGCAGAAATTAAATCGGGAGATCCGATTTCTCAACCCGGGAAAGGCGCGCTGGGAATCAAAGAGGCGAGGAAGGCAGGGAACCCTCCCTGGGGCTGGAAGGCATTAAATATTGCCACGATCGAGGTCTGTATCCTGAGCCAAAGAGGGGATCCCCATTTCTCTCTCTTTCGTTGGAGTGGGGAGGAAAGGCGGCTTTGTGGGCTGGGAAACCCCGCGATTCTCCGCTGTGGGGCTGGAAGGGGGGTGGGGAAGGTGGAGGACGGGGGGAGAGCGAGAGAGCGCGCTGCGCTAGTCCATCTTTGAAGCCTGCGCGCTCCCAGCCTGGGCTGCAACCCAGAGGTGAGTGGCCTCTCCAGGCTGCTGCATCTCGGGGGTGAAAAAGCCGAGAGGGCTTTGTGCTTCGGAAGGCGGATTAAGGAGGAGCGCGCTGGGAGCTGCCTTCTCCCCAAATCCCAGAAGGAGAGAGGGAGAGGGGTGGAGGGAGGGGGTCAGCTTCCCCCCTCCCCAGGGCTCGCTCTTTTTTGTTCCGGCTGGGGCCCGACAAATGCTTTTGTCTCCGGCCGGGCACCTCCCCCAGGGTGCGCCTGGGTGCAAGAGCGCGTGGCTCGGATCCCTGGCGGGGCAGGAGGGGGTCGTGGAGTTTGGGGGGGCGCGCGCACATGCCTGGGACCCTCCTCCACGCCGAGGAGGAAATCTCAAGAGCCACCGCTGCCGCCGCCAAGCCTGTGTGTGTGTGTGTGTGTCCTGCCCGCTTCTCCAGCGTTTCCTCCAGCCGTTTGCTTACTACCTCTATTTCCGACCTTGCTTTGGGGAAATATAAAGCGCAGCCTCGGGTCTCGTTTGAATGGCAGGTCCCAGCCTCTGGGATCGCGCGAAGTCATAAAAAATAATGAAAACAAGCCCCAGCACATGTGGGGAGAGAGCTGGCGTGCTGTGGGAGTGGGGCTGCAATAAAGAGACTCCGCTTCCCACCCTAGTGCTGCGATCGCTGGGGTGGGGACCGCCCAGCCCAGGCGGCCTCATGGCAGGGTTGTTGTGAAGGTACAATGGGAGAGGGGATTTTGACGTGGAGGAACGGCGGGGATGCAGCCAGCCAGGAAAACCATCCTCCTCCTCCTCGCCCGTAAGGAGTGGCAGCTATCCAAGCAGCGCACGTCTGGGATTAGGGGACCCCATTGCCCAGCCCAAAGAGATGGATTTCAGGAAAGCCACCTCCCGGGTTTAGACAGGAAGAAGGGCATGATGGGAGTTCTTGGTAGGGATCGATGACCCCTTTCCCTTTTCCAGGGTTTTCCCTCCCTCCCTCTCTCCCCAGCAGCCTGACATCATCTTCCTTCCTGAACAGCTAATCGTTCTTTTCCTCCTCAACCCAAGTCCTTTCCGCAAAACTCTTACAAGGGGAGGAGCCGTAGCTTCGCTGTGACGCAAACTCTTGGCGTGCAAGGGGGTCCCGGTTCGGTTCTCGGCACCTTCAGCCTGAGCTGAAATTCTGCAGAGCGGCTGCCTGGCAGTGCAAACAAACCACACCGAGCTGGATGGACCACAGAGGTCTGATTCTGTCTAAGAAACTTCCTGGGTTCCAGCTCCCCTGCCCCGCAATCTTCCCCTTCTTGTTTTCTGCCCTGGGTTGACTGCATCAGCCTAAATACATGGGTTCAGGGAAACAGATTTCTCAATAAGTGTACACACACTATATATTTCCCCCAAAGTTTCTCCAGGTGTGCTGGGAACCGTAGCTGTGTGAGGGCAAACTACAGTTCCCAGGTTTCTTTGGGGGGGAATGTCCTTTAAAAATGTACCATGGAAGTGGAGATGGGGAGCGGTTTTATTGGCTAAGATAGCTTGAAGCGAGCTCCTGGAGAGCCCTTCTCTCACTCCAATAAATTACGTTAAGGATGCCAGAGATAAAGGCAGAACAGCCGCTGCCACCACTCTTCATCTCCCATACATGTGGGAATTGCAAAGGACTTCCAGGGCCGAGGGTGTGAGGTCCCCGCAGACTTTAGCACCAGCATCGTTTTAGAAAAATTATTCAGTGTTGAGAGAAATGCTAACACCTTCCTATTCCTGAGGAAAAGGACTGGTCTGCCTTGAGATCTGGGTGGGACTCTGCATGTACCTGAAGGGCACTTCTGCTGGTCCTCCTGGCTGAGGACTAAAGATGTGTACTGGGAAACAACCTGAAGCCTGGTTTTATACTGGGATACTTTCCACACTTCCCTCTCTCTCAGCCGCCTTCCAACTTGGAGTTTCTGACCTGGAACAGAGAATGACTGCTCTACATTGGTTGTCTTTGGCCTCTCCAAAAAAATGGTCTGCATCATCCTATAAGTTGTTCCTGTGTCCCCCACCCCCCACCCCCAAACCCCAGTGCTTTGAAATGAGTTGTTGAGTGCAGCTGCAGATCGGTATTCCATGCCTATGGAGATTGAATAAATTTTAATAATAGCAGTTGCTGTCATGATTGTTTTAAACTGAGTGTTCATTTTAATATTGATGGTGTGTTTTAAATTGTCCACAGCATTTTGTGTTTTAATTAGAAAAGTGGGGTAGAAATTAATAATGATGATGGTGATAACAATAGGTGGCGATGATGATGGAAGAGGAGGCGGCGAACAGAACCTAAGAGCCCTGCTTGACCCGAGGGATGGGGAGGAAAGGATGCTGGACAATGTTGTGTTTGGGAAAGCTTTGGCCTTCCAGATGTTGTGACTACAACTCTCATCATCCCTGACCTTTCTCTGCGCTGACTGGAGCTGAAGTCCAGAAACAGCTAGACGGCCACAGGTTCCCCATGCCCGATTTCAGTTGCAGCAGACACTCACTAGAATTGGTGGAGCTTCTAAGAGGTCATGGGGGTTTGGCCAACGAAAGGTCATGAGGGCATAGCCAATTTCTGGTTTCTCCCCATCCTTCTTCCTTACAAAGATACGGTGTTATGTACTGAGTTGAATAGGATCCAAACTGCAGCAGTCTGATTGGTCCTAGAACAATAGGATCCAAATTGCAGCAGTCTGATTGGTCCAAGAACAATGCAGCAGTATGATTGGTTGGCAGGAACCACCCAATCATGCTCCAGATATAAGTGAATCCACAACCTGATTGGCTTACAGTAGAATTCCAGAATTAACCAATCATGTGCAGCCCATTGTGTAAATAATGTATATAAAGCAGATACTTTGAGGGGACATTCATTCATTCCTCCTCACCACTATGAGCTGAATAAAGAGCATGAAATCACTTTGCGACTCTGAGCATATTTCACTGGCGATGAAGATGGGATCCCGCTGAGCTGACTGCCACACATAGCACCGCAGCACCGCCACCTGCCGCACCGCTGCCTCGCACCGTGTATCCAGGCTTCAGCTCCGGGACACAAGGAACTCAGAATGGCAACCGACAGCAGCTTCTCGCCGTTCAACCCAGCATCTGGAGACTGGGAAGCGTACGCCTCCCGTTTCACCTTCCTCCTAGAAGCCAAAGGGGTCACCGATGAAGAAGACGCCAAGAAGAGGGCGATATTCTTCAGCATCTGCGGAGAGGAGACATTTGAAATCGCCCGGGCTCTCCTTGCACCTGAAGACGTCGCTACTGTTCCATACAAAACAATAATGGAACAGCTGAAGGGGCACTTTTCGCCGCAGCCCTCAGTGGTGGCTCGTCGAAATGCCTTCTACGCAAAGAGGCAAGCCCCTGGGGAAACCATAACTGGGTTTGTGACCTCTCTCCGCCAAGCTGCCCGGTTCTGCAACTTCTCAGAGCTGGAGAACATGCTTCGTGACCGCCTCGTCGGTGGCCTGAAGGATGAGAAGCTGCAACGACGCCTCTACGCCAAGAAGGACCTAACGTTCCAGGTCGCTCTGGAGGAGGCCCTGGCAACGGAAGCTGCCAAGAGGTCGACGCAAGAGGCACGGCTGAGCCTGCCATCCCAACCGAGGGTCCACCATGAAGACCTCACCGACGACTCAGGATCTGACAGGGAGGAGGTGCACCGAGTGCAGCAGCACACTCAAGCAGCCCACATACCACAGCTGCCTCGACGACAAGGAGGGAACTGCGCAAGCTGCGGGGAAAGTCAAGAGAGGAGGACCTGCCGTTTCCGCAACGCAGAGTGCAGGCAGTGCAGAAAATTGGGACACATTGCCCGGGTGTGTCGAGCTCGGCCCACCCGACGCCAGGCATCAGATGACCAATCCAAGAGCCCCAGGTCCCGGGGCCCAACGCACCAAGGCAACTCTACGGAGCTCACGGACTTCCAGGTATACCAGTTGCCCCACCCCAACGTAGAGAAAATTTATGTAGAGGTGCAGATAGAGGGGGCCCCATGCCGCATGGAGCTTGACACGGGTTCAACTCTATCCATAATCTCGGCAAGGACCTTAAGGAAACTGTGTCCTACTGGGGGTCCCAAACTCAGGCCGGCCCCATTCACCCTCCGGGACTTCCAGAAACGTAAGGTCCCCACAATGGGGGTGGGGACCTTCAGGGTGCAATACCGAGGGCGGACGCGGCAACTGGACTTGCTTGTGGTCAAGGGCCCCTACATTAGCTTACTGGGATTGGCATGGTTTGGACCACTGGGGCTAGCCATCACTGGGGTGAACCACACTACCTTACAAGTGGACGTGGACGCCATCTGCAAGGAATTTCCAGGGGTTTTCGATGCGAAATTGGGACAGTATACGGCCCCCCCATTGCTCTACAGCTTGACCCCGCAGTACGACCGGTCAGGCTCAAGGCCCGCCGGGTCCCGTTCGCCCTGAAACCCCGTATAGACGAAGAATTGGACCGGCTCGTGGAGCAAGGACTGCTGGAGCCGGTGCCTAATGCCCCCTGGGAAACCCCAATCGTCACACCCGTCAAGCCTAATGGTTCGGTCCACATCTGCGCAGACTACAAATGTACCATAAACAAGGCCCTCACGGCCCATGCATACCCAGTGCCAGTGGTCAGCCATGTCCTTGCCACCCTGGCTGGGTCGAAAATTTTTGGCAAGCTGGACTTGGCCCAAGCATATCAACAGCTGCCAGTAGATGAGGCCACAGCAGAGGCACAGACGATTGTGACGCACAGAGGAGCATTCAGGGTAAAGCGGCTGCAATTCGGTGTCAGTGTGGCACCAGGCATATTCCAGAATCTAATGGACTCGCTCCTTAAAGGGATTCCTGGCGTCACCCCCTTCTTCGATGATGTGTTGATTGCGGGGCCCACACCAGAGGAGTTTGAGGACCGCCTCCGCACCGTTCTGCACCGTTTCCAGATGGCGGGTCTCAAGGTGAAGCGGGAAAAATGTCTACTAGGAGTGCCTTAGGTGGACTTTCTGGGATTTATGGTGGACGCAAAAGGGGTCCACCCGACTGGGGACAAGGTACGGGCCATTTGTGATGCCCCAGCGCCCAAGAGCAAGACTGAACTTCAGGCCTTCTTGGGACTATTGAACTTTTACCATTCCTTCCTTCCCCACAAGGCGGCAGTAGCAGAGCCCCTACACAGACTCCTGGACAAGCGGGCCCCTTGGGTGTGGGGCCAGCGCCAGGAGGCTGCATTCCAGGCAGTCAAGGACTTGCTTGTCTCAAACTCAGTCTTGGCACACTTCGACGAGAGGCTGCCGGTGGTGCTAGCATGTGACGCCTCACCCTATGGCATTGGCGCTGTCCTGGGACACCAACTCCCGGATGGAAGAGAGGTACCGGTGGCATACTTTTCCCAGACACTCAACGCAACCGAGCGGAACTACTCGCAAATAGACAAGGAGGGTCTGGCAATCGTGAAGGGAGTAAAAAAATTCCATGATTTCTTGTACGGGCGGCCCTTCACCGTGGTGACTGACCACAAGCCGTTGCTTGGCTTGTTTGCCCCCCGAAAAGCAGACCCCCCAAGTGCTGTCTCCTTGCGTCCTCAGGTGGTCAATTTTCCTTGCCAGCTACCAGTATGCACTGGAAGGCAATGGGCCATGCGGACGCCCTCAGCAGGCTACCACTACCGGAAACAGGCCCCGACCCAGCACCTGCACAAGAGGTTATGAGCCTGGAGCTGCTTCCCGACCGCCCCATTCAGGCACAAGAAGTTGCACACCATTCCAAGAAAGATAGGGTCATCTCCCGGGTCCTGGACTGGGTGTGGAGGGATGGCCCAGCAGCAGCCCTGGGCCAGAATTCGCTGGCTACACAACCCGCAAACATGAACTGTCGGCCCACAAGGGGTGCCTGTTATGGGGAAGCAGGGTCGTTGTTCCCCAGCCCCTCCGCAAAAGGGTCCTCACAGCCCTACACGAGACACACCCAGGGGCAGTAAGAATGAAGGCCCTTGCCAGGAGTTATGTGTGGTGGCCAGGGATCGACGGAGAGATAGAGGCCTGGGTCAAACACTGCTGGGCCTGCCAAGAATCCCGCCCAGATCCCCCAAGGGCCCCAGTCCAGTCCTGGGAGTCCGCCCGAGCACCATGGTCACGCCTGCATGTGGACTTCGCTGACCCCTTTCAGGGGAAAACATTCTTCATAGTGGTGGACTCCTACACCAAATGGCTGGAAGTCGCACTGGTACCGTCCACTTCTACATCCGCAGCCATCTGGGTACTACGCAGGCTGTTTGCAACCCACGGGCTCCCTGACACTCTCGTCTCAGACAACGGGACTGCATTTACGTCAGGAGAATTCCAAACCTTCACAGCGCAGAACGCCATCCGCCACATCCGTTCGGCGCCATTCCACCCTGCCACCAATGGCCAAGCAGAACGCATGGTGCGGACCACCAAGGACACCCTTCGCCGCATGACGCAAGGGGATTGGGAGTACCGCCTTGCCACATTCCTCCTAGCACAGCACAGCACCCCCAGCTCAACGACTGGCCGGAGCCCCGCTGAACTACTAATGGGTCGGCGCCTTGCAATCAGATTGGACCGCCTTCACCCCGATAGAGCTCAGGATGAGGTAGTGGTGGGGGAAGGCAGGAACCCCTGGACCTTCGAGGCCCAGGACCCAGTGTACGCAAATAATTTTGGGGCAGGCCCAGCATGGGTACCCGCCACAGTCACCAGGGTCACTGGCCCCGTGTCGTACGAGGTGCTAACGGATGGGGGGCAATGCTGGCGCCGCCACTGCGACCAGATACGGCGACGATTCCCAGGAGAAAACCAGGAGGAGGAAAGGTCAGAGGAGTCCCAAGGGAACAGAGGGGCAGTGAGGCCCATAGAGCAGGAGGGGCCAGCAGGAGAGGCAGAATCAGTAAATACAGAGAGGACCCGCGAGGCCGAAAGGACACCGGAACCAGAACCACGACTGAGCGAGCCGGTTGCGCCAGACCAAACAGGCCCATCACAGCCAGCATCCTTGGAACACGAGCCAGAACCTGAACCCCGGACCAGGGAACACCACAGGCCGCAACGCACATGTAGGCCGCCGGCGTACCTCGAGGACTATGAATGCGACCTCCCGGGCAGGACTGGAACTTAGAGGGGAGGGGTGTTATGTACTGAGTTGAATAGGATCCAAACTGCAGCAGTCTGATTGGTCCTAGAACAATAGGATCCAAATTGCAGCAGTCTGATTGGTCCAAGAACAATGCAGCAGTATGATTGGTTGGCAGGAACCACCCAATCATGCTCCAGATATAAATGAATCCACAACCTGATTGGCTTACAGTAGAATTCCAGAATTAACCAATCATGTGCAGCCCATTGTGTAAATAATGTATATAAAGCAGATACTTTGAGGGGACATTCATTCATTCCTCCTCACAACTATGAGCTGAATAAAGAGCATGAAATCACTTTGCGACTCTGAGTATATTTCAGAGACCATGGTGGGTCCCTTAACTATTTGTAAAGCAGCAATGCTTAGCACCTAACTATAAGCTGAGAATGTCTTACTTTTGTTCAGAAGGGGCCCCTCAAGTCACAATTGCTTCTTTGCTGGGAGAAAAGTTGTTTTCTTCTCCACCTGCTCTGATTCTCTCCATGTCCTCATCCTTTGCAAAGAAACAGGGGACGCATAATCATAGCAGCTTTGTTAATACTTATCACCCAAGTGTTCGGAATGAGGCCCTGCTGCCATAATTTCTAGTGTGGACTCATGCCACAACTGCTTGTTATCCAGAGGTAAACATGGCTGAATTCCATGGGGATTGCTTCCCAATAAGAATGTACAGGATTGCAGCATGAATGGGTTAATATTAAAGATACCCCACAGTACTTTTAATAAGGGACCCTATTAATTTCCAGAGCTATGGAAAAATATTACTCCCTTCCACAGCTTACTCATTTCTACGTCTTCCTCACCGGAATATGGAATAAAATGCATTTGCTAGCCTCTAAAGTGCCAACTGAGTATTGTTTCATTTCTGCTCTAAGTCATGGCTAAATAGCAACCCCTTTGATTGAAAGAATATGAGAGAAATGTACCACACACCGCCAGTGACAGAGGAAGACTTTTAAGTCTCCAGATCCTCTATCTATTGTCTTTCTTTTTTAAATGTATGGAGACAAGGAGGCTCTTGCCAATTGACTTATGGAGAAGTTAGTGTGATGAAGCCTAAGGGGTTTAACTTATAATATCAACTCCTCCTTGCAAACCACAACCTCCTTTCACATACTTGAGGAGAGGAGACATAATTAGGAACTATGAGCCTCATAAATAAATCCCAGGAGCATGCAACAGGGTGCACCTTCCTCAAACAATGAAGAACTTGTTTGTAGTTAATAAGGTGATTCCACAACAGACAGTCTTTGCATAAACAGTACATTCACCACAGCAGAAGATTTGGCTGAGTCAGGCCAAAGTCCCATCTGGTCCAGCATCCTGTTCTTACAGTAGCCAAACTAACAAAAACAAAAACCCACAGTATTTTTCAACTTAAAGAAAAACAGGAACACAAAACCTCAGTATTTCCCACCTCAAATCTAGACACACACAAACCCTACGGTTGCAATAACACTCAAGTGTTGATAGCTGCCACACACAGAGAAGCCATCCACAATTTATTCTCCCAACCCTTCAACCCCATTCACAAAAATAACTGCTAGTAGTGCTTAAGCAAAAAAAGTACATCGAATGGAAAGATACTCACACAATCTCTCCATCACTGCTCTCTCTTAACAAATATTCATAATAAAAAAGCTGCTCAAGCTAGCAACCACACCCTTCTCCTACAAAGAATGTGCGTTGTGATGTGGGCGTGGCCTTAGGAAACAGCTCTGAGCAGGTTCGGACTGCTCTTACAGGCAGCCCTCCTAGACCAATACTGTGAATGCAGGTTAGCCCTCATAACAACAGATGGAGTGCAACGCTTCACACTGGGCACTCCTATCAATCACATGGTTCTTCTGCTTAGGGGCATATGGGAGGGGCTTTTTTTTGCCATAGCTATACTTTGGGATTGGCTGAGGAGTGCAGGGATCTGACTGGCCCAATAACGGTAGATTGACAGAAATGTTTGCGGAGCTTCTCTAAGTTCAAATAAAAATATAACGTGTGTGTGGGGGACAGGAAAGAGTGTGCAGACCCTCCAAGTGTCCCTATTTTCCAGGGACGTCCCTAATTTAGAGAAGTCGCCCGGTTTCTGATTTGATCCCGGAATGTCCCACTTTTTCTTAGGATGTCCCTATTTTCATTGGAGAAATGTTGGAGGGTATGCGTTTGAAATTTGGGTTTGTTTTTTTCTTAATTGCTTGTCGTTCTCCTAGTGCACCAGCCTCCACTGCCTGATTTTCAATGGCTGCCTCCGGGAAGTCGACAGAGAAGGCAGGAAGGCAACTGCCCTCTCCCCTTGTTGCTCCCCATCAGCTAGTATTCACACGTATGCTGCCTGTGAACCTGCAAGTTGCACTGAGCACTTGAAGCTATTGATAAACGCATCCGTCAGGAATTGGTCTAATCTCTTTAAAAAAGCAAACTAAGGTTGCAATCCTAACCAGGTCCGACTGAGTTCAATGGAATTCACTCCCAAGTAAATGGAATTAGGATTGCAGCGTTAAGTGAATGTATTTCTGCGCATGCTCAGAAGCACTCACGAATTTCATTCATGGAGCTAAGTATAGGTTATGGAGCAATCCTCGACGAACCCTAAACGGGCTGCACCCCGCTGGTCTCTAGGACGTGGGAGATATTCAGAAGAGCAGGAGAAACAGATCTGGACAGGAAATCTCCCCTAACCATGCTATGGGAAGAAGATACCAACTCAAATAAGCCTGGAAGAGTTTTGGCTGACACTTAGGTCCCCGCACCCGCCTTAAAATTCCCACAAATCCGTGAGGGAATGTGCCGGAAAAATGTTTGGCATTAGCTGGCAAAGAGAATGAATGAATGAATGAAGGCGACCTTTCTTTTTTGGAACGAAGCGAAGCCAATTAAAACGGTCCCTCAAAGCCACCCGTAGTTCCCCAAATCTGACATTGTTCTAACCTCATAATCAGACTGCCTTTGCTTTATATAACATTGAAAGGGAGAAGGCTTGATTCTCTCTCTCTGTCTCTCAGCCCGTGTGAGTGAATGATGGGGAAAGGAAAGGGAGAAAAAGGTGAGGAGAAAACAGAAGGGGTGAAATATACACAAGCTCCTGCTCTTTATCCTGGGGTTACTTACCTTTGGATATACCTTTAGATTACTGCTCCTGCTATTGCCACTCCCTTCTCACCAGCATCTACCCCAGGATTAGCCAATTGTGACAGTGCCTTCCAGATGTTGGCCTCCAACTCCCATCATGCCTGACCATTGGCCATGCCGGCTGAGGCTGATGGGAGCTGTACTCTTGCAATGTCTGAAGGACACCACGCTGGCTACCTCCAGCCTTTACTTTCCCCCAAAATTAGTATTGATCAGTTTGCACTGCATAGGATTGCAGCCTTAGAATCCTGAAACCTTATGCACTGTTCAAATAGTAAGGAATGATTATAATAATCTGTCAGTAATAAGTAACAAGGGATAACTCTGTGCTTTCAGACAGGACAAAGCTTGTTGTTCAATAGAGGGACATGCTTTGGCTCCTGCTATTCAAAACAGTTTTCATTTGACGGTGACTCTTAATTTATTATATTTTTATCTATCTGTCGAGAAAATCATCTTTCCAGGATGATTTATCTAATAAATTATTGCACTATAGCTAACGTTGTCATATTACTTTATTCTCTTTATTTACTGATGCACAAAGAGGGCCTAGTAAACTAAAACCTTCTTTTATAGCACACAAAAGCTTAGCAATTAACAGATAGATTATGAAGAGAGTGAAGTCCAAGGATGTTGATATTTGTGGTATAACTGTTATAGAATGCAGACAACACATGCATAGAATATATTTAACATCTCCTCAAATTGAGATGGAGCAGATGCTGGTACAAGACCCCTTGCTCATTTGTACAGTAAGCAGACTTTTACTTACATATGCCTATGTATCTGTATACTGATGTATGGTACATCACCTAGAGAAATTAGTTTATTATTTAAGCTTATTAGTGTCTTCCTAAAATAAATGATGAACTCTTACACTAAAATACAGTAACATAATTAGTATAATGGTTAAGGCAATGAACAGCAAATCAGATCAAATGTCACCTTACCCTGAAGTAAGTGAGTAGTCTGAGGCAAGATATCCTCATACAGTCACACATATTTATCCCATGTGGGAATAATAGCAGTCTACACTATAAGGTTGTTGTGAAGCTTTTGAACCCTTTTAAAAAAACCTTTATTAGGTATTATAATGTAGTTTTGGAATTTTGAGCAATGTAGAACTACCTACAGCAGTAGCAGTGGTTGTAGAAGTAGCAGCAGCAGAGCTGCCAGAAAGACGTGTGGATCCAGAATTGCCCTCCGCAGTCCCTTATGGACACACACCATTAAGACTGTTTTCAGGGAAGACAATCTTACTCGGCCACAAGAAGAAAGAAGAAGATGAGCCACACAACTGGGTCCTGTTATTCCCAGCCCCCTTGGATTTAGTAACAATAATTCAAGTTGCTCCTTTAAAGCTTCCTTACAAGGGTCCATTGCTCCGCAACGCAGCAGCATTCCAGCCACGAATCACCTTCTCCTGCTCTTTAAAAGAACCAGGAGGGGCGATAGGTTCTGCTCACAGAAACACATAAGATTTGGACGGCCAGCCTTGCCTGACCTCTCGGGGTTGCAGAGGAGAGACGTTCCTGCTGCGGGGTGCCGGGGATTCGAACCCGGGGCCCTTGTACCCTGCAGAGCAGCTGCTCCACCGTGGCAGCAGGCGTGGAAGCGCCAAGGGCAAGAGGAAAACCGGAGGACAAAGGTGGGGAAGGCCAGATTTGCTGAAGGCCTGACATCAGTGTCAGCAGCAGCAGCAGCAGCAACAGCACTCTCACGAGCTGCGGGGATGGGGCGCACCCAGGTATGTTATCCCCGCTTCGGTGGAGCTTCCCTTTCTCCCTTCTCCATCCATTCGGGCCTCCCCTTCATCTCCTCCTCTGGCTCCACGAAAGGGCTCCTGTTCAGGCCAAGGTTCAGGGGCTGCGCCATAACTGGCTGCTCTGAATGGGAGCCCCCCCCCCCATATCGACGCCCCTTCGGCTTCTCTTTCTCTGAGGCCTGGTCGTGGGTTGGCGGCCCTGCGCAGGGAAACCTGTAGGGTGCCCCGTGGCCCCGGGGGTGGAAAGGCTCCCCCTGGCCTTTGTGAAACCCCCGGGCCTTGTGTTGTGTGTGTGTGTGTTGTGTGGGGAGAAGGCTGCCTTCCTCCCTCCTCCGCCCCTGGATTCACCTGTCAGGGCGATCAGAGTCCGGCCCCGGTGACAAAAGAGTCCCTATCGAGGCCCTGAAAGGGGCGCTTCAGGTTCACTGCTTCGCGCCAAGGCTTCGGGGGAAGCGGCAAATGAGCGCGAAAACGGCCCCATTCTTGCCCGGGGAAAGACAAGCGGGCGGCTTCACGCCTCGGCCCGCCAGGCTTGCCGCCAGGCCTGCGGAAAGCGGACAGGCCGCCGCGTAATCGCCAGAACAATTTCATTTCCTCTCCTCGGCCTTGCAGGCCTCGCTCGCCCTCGGAGGGGGCAGCCTCAGGCAGACAGGCAAGCAGGCCGGGAGGGAGGGCCGGGCAGCGGGGGCGGGGAAGGCCCGAACCCTGCCTGCCCCACTGGGAAGAAGGGTAGCCGAGGGGGACCCCGAAGCCGAGGGGACCCCGAGTCCAAAGAGGGAACAGGCTAGGCCTAGCAAGAGCAGTGTCGTCTGTTGCTTCTGCGGCTACTCTGGTCGTCATCGCCAGGGCCCCGCCAGCTCCCCCCCCCCCAACTTAGGCCAAGGCTGGCATCTTAACCGTGGCTACTCAGAAGTAAGTCCCATTGAATTTAGTTGGGCTTACTCCCAGGGAAAGCGGAGGTGAGGAGTGCAGCCGTGGCCTTTCAGGTGCCACAGGACTCCTTGGTGTGCATTTGGCTAGTTGTGCAGGAAATGGGATCGTTGGAAGACTTCTTTAAAAAATCATTTTTATTGGTTTTCATGTAAATACAACATATAACTACAGTAGTTTGTCCAGTGGTAGAGTCTTGTTTCATATGTAGTACACAGTACACAAGCAATAAGTTTGTTTATGCATTATCAGTTCAAGTATCCTCTCCACAGAGATTCTTGTGTTGTGGGTGGAATAAAAGTATCTTCTGTGATCATTGAAGACTTGTTCCATTTGAGGAGAAAGAGGAATAACTCCTGGGACCCCCCCCATGGGTTCATATGCCGAATTCCAGTGACCTTGGGCAGTGTTATTGAAAATAATACAAAATAATAATCGTAGCCGGGTTATTTATCTGCAGCGTATCCCACACATACACTTGTGCTCCAAGCAGTTCACTGGAAACAATAGCACAAAACCTATGCTTCATCAGAGTTATATCAATGGAACAGAACATTAACAACTCAGAAGCTTACAGTTTATTTAGAATAGAGTGAGAATGTATGCAAAAAGTGAGCATAAATTTCAGTGACAACACTGAATAACTGTGGGGAGGGTGAACGATCCATCATGAAATTCTGCACAAGCTCCATTGAAATGAATTTGCACCAAGGCAAAAGGGCCCTCCAAATGCAGCTAAGAGCTTCTGAGACTCCTCAGTTTAGAAGGGCAACCCCAACGTTCAATTCAATAGGA